CCCCGCCCCCAGCGCCAAGGCCCCGCCCCCGTCCCGCCGACGCTCCCGCGGCAGGTTCGCGTTGCCCCGGTAACGGCTGGGGGAGACAGAGCCGGGAGCGCGGCGGGAAGTGTCCGGTGCGGAGCATGGATGTCCGGTGAGCAGCGGCGCCGCGAGCCGGCTCCTGACAGGCCCCCGCAGTGCCCGGTGACCGCATGGAGCCGTGAGCCCCCTGGCAAGTTGCCCCGGGTGGGGTAGGACAGGCTGGGCCAGTCCCAGCAGCCTTCCCTGGGTGCTGGGGGCCTCCAGGGCGCTGCCTGGCCCGGCTCTGGTTTTGTGTACGCTGTCCCACTTCTTTGTGGAATGTTTGTTTGGGTTTTTTAAGATACTGGGATTTCCCAGTATCAGATATTGGCTCCATGTCACCTGCCCACCTGCCTTTTGCCGCACATGCCCGCTGGTCCCCAGAAGAAGGAAACGGGGGGCAGGTTTGTAACAGGGCCGGGAGCAGAGCGCTGCTCCTAGTCTGATTATTCCTATTTCACAGCCCTGTGGACTGGTTTGGTTTTTTTTTAACTCTTGCTAAAAACATTAACTCAGGTGCGGAAATGTTAACTCAGGTGCGTGCACGTTAGGTCTGGTGCAGAAGTCGCTGTCCATGAAGCATCAGCGGCGCTGTGCTGGTGTTCAAGAAGGTGTGATTTTGTTCTCTGAATCTGAGAAAGATGTGCATTTAACTTGAGGGACTTCAGGATTAATGAAGCAGTATCTTTGGATTATTTTTTTTCCTTGTTTGTTGTGTGTTTATGTTTTAATATATGATATAGTCAATTAATCCACATGCCAAAAAAGTTTTTTGTTTGTTTTTTTGCTTCAATTTCAAAATGAATAACTAGTTGTAGTCCCCACCTTATTAGTGAAGCTTCTTGCTTATCTTTATCTGCGGAGAAACGTGTTGTGTTTTATATGATGCACCACACCATCTCCACCCCTCTCCCCCTTTTTCAAAATCCTAGAGCTGCCCCTGTAAGTGGTAATTACTTTGCATGTGTGGCCAGTCTAAATTTATTGCAGAATTAACCAGTTAATTATATAATATATGCAACATGTAGCAGGAGCCAGAGTGTGGAGCGCAAGACTACCTGCAATGTGGTGTAAAAGCTCTTGTAGAGAGGAAGCAGTCACTTGGTGTGTCTACACGTGCACTTTAATGCACATTAGCCTATTTTAATGCATATTTAAGTGTCACAAGAAGTGTGCTTTTGCTAATGCATATTAAGATAGGCTAATGCACCTTTTTCTAGTGCTTCACAATGGAGATACTAAACTTAATGTGGATTAGCAAAAGTGCATTAATGAACATGTAGACATGCCCGCTGTGAACCCGATTAATAAAAGTTTCATCTAATAAACTAGGGACTGTTCTCATCATTATTTATTTATTATTTTAATTTTATGCATTTTATTTATTATTTACTTGTTTATAATATTTTTGTTACTTTCATTTCTTTGTGTATTTTGGTGAATTTTAATTTAGTAAAAATAAGGATTTTTATTTACTTCCCCAAATAAAGGGAAAGTGGTGAGGGCTTTTGCTTAACCCTTTTTTAAAAACTTTTTTTTTTTAAAACCATTAGTTGCTAAGCAACAAAAACATATATTTAAATATCAAGTTATTTACAAAACCTGTGCTCTTAAAAGCAAGGAAATTAATTGTTAAGGGCATAATCAGACATTGCTCACATAATTAACTCCTTGTTCATCCTGGTGTGCTTTACTGTGGAGCTGACTAATTAACTCTTCAGTAAAGTGTCTTGGTCCACATGTGCTCCCATATTTAGGGATCAGTAAATTAATTAACTGCAGTAAGATAGTACTGTCTAGGACAAGTACTATGCTACAGCAGAGTAATTTATGCAGTCTCAACACACATGTCAACAGTGACTGAGGCTGACTGGGGCATAAGAGTGCTTGTGTGAGGGCTGCACTAGTGCTACATTGTAGCCCCCTTGTGCCCTAGTCAGCCCTCCACTGCCAGTCTGGGGATTCTGTACCTTGGTTCTAACTGCTGCAGTTCTGGGTGCACACTGTGCCTGGGAGCTGTTGGTGTGAATTGCACCAGAATTTATTGCTCTCTGTTAATTGCATGTGTAGATGCACCCACTGGACATATCTACATGTACTGCACAGTAGACTAATTAGCTGCATAGTAAACATCATGCTTCTACACACGCACTCCCATTAGGCTGGAGTAAGTTAATTAACTCTCCAGCAGACTAGTACTTGTAAATACAAGTACTATCCTGCTGTGGAGTTTTTTACATGTAGACGCTGCCCCGGCTGGCTGAGACAAGAGGGCACTTCAGTGCAGGGGCTGCCCACTGGCTAGCACAATGTTGAAGCACCCTTTTTCCACAGCTAGCCCCTCCACAGCATGTTAAGCAAGGGGGAGCAGCCCTGAGCTGGCAGGCTGATTTCCCCCCCCCCCAAGCCCACTACCAGCTGGGGCTCCTCCGACCTGACTCAACGTGATGTGGTTCCAAGTGCACATTTCAACAGTGCACCCAGAAGCAATAAACTCCAGAGCAGTAAGTTCCGGAGTTTATGTATGTGCATTAATTGCTTGGATAGATGTGCCTGCTGAGTGGTAAAAATGTGCTTTTCCTCAGAACTGAGCAGTCTTTTCTTTGATACAAAATAAATACCATTCTTCCACCAGAAGTCTCAAAATATTAATACAACAAAAAGTATTTCTAAAAAAAGAAATGGAAATATGGGTGAGATTATGAATCCAGTACAAGGGAAGAAGTTATTCACATAAACAATACCATATAAATAAATTACTTAAAAGTGGTGGGATCTGGCCCTATATATTGATCAAGTTTGAATACACTACGTAATATGTTCATAACTATATTGCAGTCTATCCTGTTCATTGGTACAAAGGAGCACAAAGGGACATAAAGCATCTCTCTAGTCCCTTCCACCAGTGTCCCATAGTGTTTCTTCTTGCTTGTGGCGCAAAGCAGGGCCATCATCCTTATCCTTATTTGATGCCACACTGTATGGTGTAGCAATGCTGTAGCTGTATTATAGATTTCATAGACATTAGGGCTGGAAGGGACCTCGGAAGATCATCGAGTCCAGCCCCCCGCCCAAAGGGCAGGAAGTCAGCTGGGGTCATAGGATCCCAGCAAATTAAGCATCCAATTTGCTCTTGAAGGTATTTAATGTAGGTGCCTGAACCACTTCTGATGGCAGGCTGTTCCAGACCTTGGGGGCTCGGACAATAAAGAAATTCCTCCTTATGTCCAGCCTGAAACGGTCTGGTAGTAGTTTATGACCGTTCGACCTTGTCATCCCTTTGGGTGCTCTGGTGAACAAACATTCCCCCAGATGCTGTAAAGCTAATAGAGCTGTTGTTGTCTGCTGTCTTCTTGGAGAAGTAAGAAAACCAAGGGGGCGATTTTGCATGTGAATAGATGAACTATGTTATTTTACTAGGAGAAGGAAGCAATTTACTGCTTATTTGTTATCACTGATTTGTCTGCTTCTATCCTGGAAATGAAATCACAGCACCTTACCTCCAAGTTAAACAGGGTTAAATCACTGCAGTTTAGCTTCACTTTCTGAGGGATGGGAAAATACTGATGAAACAACTGCAGTGGATCAACTGAGGCATGTTCATGAGTGATAAGACCCTCCCTACTCTACCTCAGCATAATTGTTCATCACTCCATGGCTCCAGACCCTGACCTTTTCCAGGCTGGTTTTATTATGGGCTACCAGGCAAGCTGACGATATTCCATAATCTATAAATCGACAGTATAACACACATAATTATTCTCAACGTATAGTAATTCTAAGTAAATTGTAAAATAGTCTGTCTATAAATATGACTGAGATTTTCCATTTAATACTGTTAAAATTATACAAAAATCAATATAACACATTAAAACAGTTATTTAAAATTACAGGTCAGAAGATTGTTTTACTGTTCTGACACAGGCATTTCTTTATACTTCATAGAAGTAATGCATTTATTTAATAGAAAATTATTAAGATGTAATGTATTACATATAAAATGTATTACCATATTTACTTGAATATAAGACAAGGTTTTTTCCCAATCAGCATAGGAAAGCCCTTCCACTTATAGTCACAAACAAGAAGACATAATGAAACATATTGCCTGTCATTAAACTATTGCCAGAAGCAATGTGTGCTCAGTAGTTGAAACCAACTATGAAGCTGGCTGAATACAACCAACAGAGAGCATGCCTATAAAACACATGACCCAAACATGCTGATAAATAAATAAATAAAAGGTGTTCATCTACAAATTTTATTTTAAAAACACATTTATCACTCTACACTTACAGTGTCATGTATTCGGCATCCTTGTTTTCTAAGACTTCATATCACAAAAACAACTGCATATTGAAAATATACAACTACATATATTAAACCTTAAACAACATACAGCAACTTCCCACAAAAAACTTCTTACAAAACTCCTTTTCTCCATACAGAACCCCATGAAAAACCATTACCTCAGTAACTACCTGAAACTCTTTGCCTTCCTACCAGTCCTCTCTGTTGGTTCAGTGAAACAAGTGTGTCCAGTCCTTTTTTCTCCATTTCTTCCGTGCCTCTTCTTCTCCAATCATTTCATTATCCTGATGGATGTAGTATTTCAGTTCATACAGCCCCAGCTTCAGGCACTCTGTTTTAGTGAAAGCCAATGCCTAAAAACTCCCAGGTTTCTTACTTTCCATAAACTAGTTTTAAAACATGTTAATAAAGTCCTTAATAGTGTTTCCTCTAGTCTCTTTGGTATGAATCCGTATAGTACCATCTCCTGTACTAACAAAAGGTTTATTTTCGTGATGCTCAGAAAGCAGCAATCCTTTTCCCATGCTCCTTTTGCTTATGTACACTCCCAAAACATGTCCCACATCCCCTGTTTTTAGGGGATGTTTTTAGCTAGGCTGGATAGGCATCTGGCTGGGGTCATCTGACCCCAGCACTGTTTCCTGCCTAGGCAGGGAGTCGGACTTGATGATCTGTTGAGGTCCCTTCTGACCCTAGCATCTATGAATCCCACTGTAGCACCATTGCCTCAGCTCAGTCCCCTAGCAGCTGTGCAGACTGCAC